TAACCCTGTAACTTTCCAAGACACCATAAACCCTGTACATAGGGGGTACTGTTTTACTCAGAAGACTTCGCTGAACACAAATATTAGTGATTCAAAACAGTAAAATGTATTACAACCACGATATCGTCAGTGACAGTGAAATTTTTTGCATTTTCCCCACACAAATGGCATTTACACTGACGATATAATTGTTGTGATACGTTTTACGTTTTACTAAATATACATTATATTTGTGTTTAGTGAAGTCTCCTGAGTATAACAGTACCTCTCATGTACAGGTTTTATGGTGTTTTCAAAAGTTACAGAGTCAAATATAAGGCTTGCGTTTCAGTTTTTTCACATTGAAATTCGCCAGATTGGTTATGTTGCCTTTGATACCGTACAGTTGCCCAGGAATGAAAATGATCCCCTATGATGGCATACCTTGCGAGGACCTCACAATCACATGGCCGGGTTAGCTGCCTGCTGCATTGCCAGCAGGGGGACTGCCTGTAATGACAGGTAGTGCCCCTGCTGGCTGGAAATAAAATAAAATTAAAGTGTAAAAAAATAAAATACTATACTTAGATCATATATATCATTAATATATATATGATCTAAGTATATATATACATATACATACACACACATACACTGTCTAGGTGTATTTTACTATTAATATATATATATATATATATATAATTATATATATATATATTAATATTAAATTACACGTAGACTGATACTGATTAAATATATATATATATATAATTATTGTTATATATATTTATATATAATATAAAAAAATAAATATGTAAATCCTTTAAAACATAAAATTAAAAAAATAATTAAAAATAAATAATTAAAAAATATATAGATGTGTGTTATTTCGTTCTAACTGTATTGTGATATTAATATATATATCAAAATACACTTAGAACGAAATAATATATACGTATATATCACTATATATACCTATATATAAATAAAAATATTTTAAAAGATTATATATATATATATATATATATACACACACGTGTGTGTATATATATATATATATACACATATAATTAATATTATTTCTACATATATATTTATGTAATATTTTTACATAATTGGGTATCTTAATTAATTACAATTAACGGGACCTGCCTGACAACCCATGCCGAAAGTAAAGGGAATTTAATTTGCTAGCACTATACTTAACCCTATAAACTTTCCAAGACACCATAAAACCTGTACATGGGGGTTACTGATTGACTCGGGAGACTTCGCTGAACACAAATATTAGTGTTTCAAAACAGTAAAATGTATTACAACAATGATAACGTCAGTAAAAGTGACGTTTTTTGCATTTTTCACACACAAACAGCACTTACACTGACGATATTATTGCTGTGATACTTTTTACTGTTTTGAAACACAAATATTTGTGTTCAGCAAAGTCTCCCGAGTACAACAGTACCCTCATGTACAGGTTTTATGGTGTTTTCAAAAGTTACAGCGTCAAATATAAGGCTTGTGTTTCATTTTTTTCACATTAAAATTCGCCAGATTGGTTACGTTGCCTTTGAGACCCTATGGTAGCCCAAGAATTAAAATTACCCCTATGATGGCATACCATTTGCAATAGTAGACAACCCAAGGTATTGCAAATGAGGTATGTCCAGTCTTTTTTAGTAGCCACTTAGTCACAAACACTGGCCAAAATTAGAATTTTTTGCATTTTTCACACACAAACAAATACTAACGCTAACTTTGGCCAGTGTTTGTGACCAAATGGCTACTAAAAAAGACTGAACATACCCCATTTGCAATACCTTGGGTTGTCTACTATTGCAAATGGTATGCTATTATGGGTGTAAATTTTATTCCTGGGCTACTATACAGTCCCAAAGGCAACGTAACCAATCTGTCGAATTTCAATTTCAAATGTAAAGTGCTATAATTTGACCCTGTAACTTCCCAAAACGCCATAAAACCTGTACATAGGGGGTACTGTTTTACACGTGAGACTTTGCTGAATACAAATATGTGTATTTTATTGCAGTTAAAGCAAACAGTATTATGACATTGACAGTTAAAATGCCATGTAGAACTAAAAAAATATTATTTTCTCCCATTTTTTTTCATATCAAATTATGTTTCATAGCTAAATATTTATATTAAATGAAAGCCCTGTTTCCCCTGAATAAAATGATATATGAAATGGAAAAATCAATCAAGGTATTGATTATTTCTTTGTGTATCTGCCCCTGGCCAAATCAATGAAACAATGCATGCACGCTCCCTGAAGTAATTCACACCAGACACAGGTTCCAGGTTGTTGAATAACTTGAGGAAAGTTTATTCAGAGGGGACGGCAGGTCCCCTTTAAAGCAAAATTACATCATTGTCAGAGATAACATGGAATAATACATCAATAATTGGTTAGGTGTTAAGTGGTCTTCCTAATGCTCTGCCTACTGAGGGTGATGTCACCAGGACCATGAGGGTCTCCCACGGTTTCCCGGCGCCATCTTGCTGCACAAGGTAGTTAGTCGGTGTTAAAGGGAGAGGGGAGGGGGAGGAGGGGTTAGAAGCTTCTAGCAGCCATCTTGGTTAAAATATGTGTGTATAGCTTTATAATGTATATCGTGGAATGAGTAAATAGTCATTTTCACTAACTAGGAAATATGTGCAGACCTTATTTCCACAACAGTCCCCCCTAAAATGGCTATTTACCATGACAACTGTCACTGTCCCTAGTGTATCCCTAGCTGCCTGCAGCTCATCTGTCTTCACAAGCATCGAACTCTTCACTCCGTGGGTAACCCGCAGTAGCTAGTCCACCACATCTCCACACGTGAGACTTGCCCGCAAAGACAGACGCTTTCCCTACACTGTCCCTACAGAAATGCAGTTGTCTGTTTAAACTGATGTGACTGAAGGGGTGTATGTGGAGTGTCATCCTCGAGGTCTGTGATGTCTTGATGTAAGAAAGTAGGGGTCACGTCATCTATAGTCTTCCCTACTGCTTTCTGTAAGTACTTCTGTATGCAAGGGAGCACACAACAGGTTAGGAATAAGAAGATGATAATCATTATAAGAACAGCCGTTCCTACCTGGAAGAGGGTCCTTTGCCATCCATTCATCCACCCAAACCATCTGTCCCAAGTGTCAGTGACCCCTGAGTTCTTTTTTAGTTCGTCGGAGAGGCTATCTAGCTTCTCTATGGCCATAGTTACCTTACCATTTGGCCCAGTGTTGTCTGGAATGAATGTGCAGCATGTCATAGTTTCAGGGAGGATCTTACATACACCCCCTTTCTCAGCTAAAATCATATCTAGGGCCATTCTATTCTGAAATGTCATTTGGGTAGTGGCTTGTAATTGCTCTGCCAGGCCCTGTAGGGCATCCCTTGTGTAATAAACAAAGCGCTGCTGATTATAATAGATGTAATTAATCCAATTGACATTCTTATTAGCAGTTATCATTGAAATCAAGGATTCAAATCCTGCTGCCACTTCATCTCTTGCTTTGAATTCGCTAGGCACCCCCCTTGGCACACCAATGGCATCAATATACACATGGGGGTCGAAGCTTCCTCGGATGGGGGCCTCACGTTTGGTTCTAGAATGTACGGGTGTGTGGTCTAGTGCGTTGTGGCTACCATCTGGAATAATGTGGATGGGCATTATAACTTTAGTTAAGGCACACTCCCCCCACCATTGCCCAGCTAATTGGGACCTCAATTGCCTGTCACCACATAACCAATAGATATCACCGATTGTCTTTGCATGATTCATTAACAGTGATACAGGCGGGCTATGGTAGGTTGAGCAATATCCAGATGCGAATTTGCCCAGATACACACCAGTATTCTTAGGTATTGAATAACATGTGTAATTACCTGGATATACTGTGACTCCATCAGGTGGCTTGACATATCCATGAGTGATTGGGTAAACCCTCTTCCATGATTCACATGTTGAGGAATTTGTGGTGGACTGTGCATAGAGACTTAAAACACATAGTTCTACTTCAGGAGGTAAAATTAGAGGTACTGTACCCAGATGGGGCCTGGCTCCTCCACATACATAGCAATTAGTCTTATTGTGTGAGTTGGCATTATATCTCATCCACTCTAACCACAAATAAGTGTCTGAAAACCCAGTCTCCACTGCCATAGTGTCTTCAAAGATGGGGTTGGCTATAGCTACCATGTCATGTAGAGTCTTAATATGTGGTTTTAACGGATTAATAGTCATGTGAGTGGTTCCTACCCAGTCTGGTGAGGTGAACATGTCCTGTAGGTAAAATGTCCCCAGTTTATTATGTGAACCACCTCCCTTCCAGTACATTCCCATTACATATTCCCCTGCGTCTTTTGGGCTGGGGTGCTCTATATTCAAGGTAAGTTTAATGGGAGTTGACCCTATGGGTTTGCTCAGGGTCATTCTGGAGAGTAGAGGCTTCCCGTCTTTGTCAAGTCTGTCCAATGCACTCTGGGGTCGGTAGCCCCATGGTCTACCCGTGTTCCACCCGCTTTCCATGAACTACAATGATGTCCCCAAACTCCTCCAGTCACACAAATGTATGGATCCTTTCTGCTAGGTATGTCTTTGTATATGGCTGCATATTGTGTTTGTGGAAAGGTGCAAACAACTATGTCACAGTAATCAAAGGTGTATGTAGCTACATCTGTGTTAGAAGAGTTGTACCAGAAAGTGTAGACATGATTATCTTTGGTTATGGCCACTTGTTGGGCCCAGGCAAAATGTAGCAGCATAAAAAAACACAAGACACATAACAAATTCATATTTCAGCAGGAGTAGCCTCTTCTGGTGCAGGCACTTTCTTGCAATGCGAAGCGTGTATCCAAGAACTCTTTCCTGCTAGCTTAACTGACGTTGCTGTGATCAGGAGCACTTGATAAGGGCCATCAAATCTTGGCTCTAGGGTGTGTTTCCTGAGGAACTTCTTGACCATAACCCAATCACCGGGGAGCAGCTTGTATGTACCTGTATTCGACTCAGGATCTGGAATAGAAGAAAACACTTGGGCATGTATTTTGGTCAAGGCATGTGAGAGGGCAGTCACATAGTCTACCATGGCATCTGACTGGATCTGAAGTTGTTGAGGAAAGTAACAACCTAGTCTGGGTGCTGTGCCAAACAGAATCTCATAAGGTGATTGTGGCGAAACCAACCTCGCCACTGTGAACTGGAGAAGCCTGGAAGCTCGCCTGCTCCCTTTGGACTATGGCCCTGCAGGTTAAACCGTTTATTTCCCTGCAGAAAGGCTTATTTGTGTGATCTGAGTGCCATTCATCTAATAATGTGCACTCAGATCCCAGCTATGTGGGGATATGTGAAATGTCTGTGTGTTATGTGTAAATGTGACTTTATGTATCTTAAAGTGTTTTGTGTCTGTTTGCAACCATGTGCTTAATGGAGTCTTGTGTCTATCCTGGGAGATAATTGAATTACTCTCCAGGATAGAAGACTCTGAAACTGGTTTGGGCCGGAAAGCCATGCTTCATTTAGTCACAAAGGACTTTCCCTTAACTTTTGAACCCCTGGTCTGATTCGTGCCATTTTTTAATATGTTGTTCCCCTGAATGGATTGATTATGAAAATGTATGTTTTATGTTTGTGACATGTATATTTTAGAAGTTAGAAATATTGTGTAAAAACTGTATTCCTCTGCCGGTGATAATGAGATTACCCATTGTGTTCAGTAATCATATCACCTGCAGAGGGGAGGATTTTGTGTGGGAGTGTCTGGGTGTATTGTACGGATTGATTGGTTGTTTTGTAACGCCCTGTGGGCTGTACTATGTTTGTGGATTGGGAATAAAAGAGACTGTATGTGACAGTACAGAGAGTTCCTGCTTAACCCTCAAAGTGAAGTGTCGTCTCATTATTGGGGGAAGGATTTATTGTATGCTGTTCCAGTTTGACTGCTAGGAGAGTAAACCTATTCGTATGGTTCCTATTCAACTGTCTACAGCATTCATATGCTTGAGAGCATTCATATGCTCCTATGGTTCGGTGGTTTTGGTGTCTGCTGCAGTGCTTGGAGTCCTCAGGAAGCGCTAGGAGCATCCTTTCAACGGAGGTACCCAGTCGGGGTGCCAGGTGATCCGTTACATTGGTGGCAAGCGGTGGGATGGCGTCCTAGTGCGAGGTAAAGCAGCTCAGAGACACAGTTCGTGGATTTACAAATTGAAGGTGACGCTAGTGTTCATACAGCGTCCCTGTCTACATAAAGATTTGGGAAAACCAGCACTACTTCAGAGATGGAAGGCCGTGCAGTATCTCACTTTGACGCCAGGCTCCAGCAGCGACTACAGGATGTGATGCGCAGTATGGAGTATCCTATCCCAGAGGAAAGAGAGACAGAGTGGAGGGTGGCGCTTCGTACCGATCTCTGGAAGGAGGACATCGACGAAATTCGACCCTTCCGGTGCGAGGAAATCCTGACCACTAACCAGCGCCAAGCAGAACAACTAGAGCTGCGGATGCCGTTATTGGGAAACCAGCCCTCAGAGGAATGGGTAAGCGAACTGGAGACGCTAGTTGAAACTGAGGTGTGGCTGGATGATTCCTATCGGGCCCTGCGGTGGCATGTTTACCACCTCTACCCATGGCTGATTGAGTACAAGTGTATTGAGGGGGAAGACTACGACGGCCCTGGTTTGTTGTGGGATACTATTGAAACTAGTCTCTGGTTCGGAGACACCGACATTGCTCGCTTCTGGTCCATCCGAGCTGAGCGGGCAGACAACTGGGACCTTACAGAGATCGATGCCATTCAGCCAGATCTATCTTTTCTTGCCAACCGAGAGTGGGAACTAGAACAGGATTATGTTTGCCTATTCCAACGTATAACGCTGCCTGTCTTTGACATGATGGGGCTTATTGACTGTATACCACCGGAAGCATTAAGTTTAGTTCCTCCTCCCCAGCAACCAAGCCTGTTATCAGGAGACTTTGGTACTGTACCAAAGATGGAAGACCTTATTGACTTGTCCTGGGAAGACACCCAGCTGGCAGGTGGGGATGGGACAGAGGTCTCTCTACAGGCCCTACAGGGATGCTGGGCAGTCAGCCCAGATCCCCAGCGGCAGTATGTATCCCAGGGAGCTGAAGGTGCTGTACTTCCTCCCCAGCGGCAGTGTGTCCTGCAGGAAGCGGAGACAGTCGGTCTCGCTCCCCAGCAACAGGACAAATTATTGAAAGGGGAGACAGTCGGTCTCCCCCTCCAACAGCAGAGAGAGTGTCAGGGAGAGGAGCTTGTTATCCCCTCTCCCCAGCGGCAGTGTGTACCCCAGGGAGCAGAAGGTGCCGTCCTTCCTCCCCAGCGGCAGTGTGTATCCCAGGAAGCCAAAGGTGTCGTCCTTCCTCCCCAGCGGCAGTGTGTATCCCAGGGAGCTGAAGGTGCACTCCTTCCTCCCCAGCGGCAGTGTGTACCGCAGGGAGCTGAAGGTACAGTCCTTCCTCCCCAGCGGCAGTGTGTACCCCAGGGAGCTGAAGGTGCAGTCCTTCCTCCCCAGCGGCAGTGTGTACCCCAGGGAGCTGAAGGTGCCGTCCTTCCTCCCCAGCGGCAGAGTGTCCTGCAGGGAGCAGAGACCGTCAGTCTCGCACCCCAACCACAGGACAAAATAATGAAAGGGGAGACAGCTGGTCCCCCTCTCCACCAGCAGAGAGAGTGTCAGGGAGAGGAGCCTGATACCCCCTCTCCCCAGCGGCAGTTTACAGTTCAGAGAGAGGAGCTTGTTACACCCTCTCTCCAGCGGCAGCCTAACCCAGCAAGGGGAGATGTTACACCCCCCAACAGTGCAGATGGGACTGTAGTCTCTGCACTTACAGCACAAGGGGTAGGGACAGTCGGTCCTGTTCCCCAGCCACAGAGTGGTGTATCCAGAGGGGAGACAGTCGGTCTCTCCCTCCCACAACCAGGCTCCCACCAGGCTACTTCCGTGGTAGCACTGGCATCAGGGCAGAGTACCGCTGGTCTCTGCCCACTCAGCAACCCACCAAGGCAGCCTAACAGTTGCCCACACAGTCGTGGTGAGGCACCTGGACATGGACAAAGTTCTCCTCTACCCAGGTGTAGTAACCAGTTATTGTGGGTGGGCTGTACTGCTGTTTCTGTTTTGTGGGTGGGTTGCTGGACTAACCAGGGCACTGACCGGCAGGAGGTCAGATACCCTGTTAGTCTAGTTGGTAAAGGGGAGAAGTGTGGCGAAACCAACCTCGCCACTGTGAACTGGAGAAGCCTGGTTGCTCGCCTGCTCCCTTTGGACTATGGCCCTGCAGGTTAAACCGTTTATTTCCCCTGCAGAAAGGCTTATTTGTGTGATCTGAGTGCCATTCATCTAATAATGTGCACTCAGATCCCAGCTATCTGGGGATATGTGAAATGTCTGTGTGTTATGTGTAAATGTGACTTTATGTATCTTAAAGTGTTTTGTGTCTTTTTGCAACCATGTGCTTAATGGAGTCTTGTGTCTATCCTGGGAGATAATTGAATTACTCTCCAGGATAGAAGACTCTGAAACTGGTTTGGGCCAGAAAGCCATGCTTCATTTAGTCACAAAGGACTTTCCTTTAACTTTTGAACCCCTGGTCTGATTCGTGCCATTTTTTTAATATGTTGTTCCCCTGAATGGATTGATTATGAAAATGTATGTTTTATGTTTGTGATATGTATATTTTAGAAGTTATAAATATTGTGTAAAACTGTATTCCTCTGCCGGTGATAATGAGATTACCCATTGTGTTCAGTAATCATATCACAGGCAGAGGGGAGGATTTTGTGTGGGAGTGTCTGGGTGTAATGTACGGATTGATTGGTTGTTTTGTAACGCCCTGTGGGCTGTACTATGTTTGTGGATTGGAATAAAAGAGACTGTATGTGACAGTACAGGGAGTTCCTGTTTTAACCCTCAAAGTGAAGTGTCGTCTCATTATTGGGGGAAGGATTTATTGTATGCTGTTCCAGTTTGACTGCTAGGAGAGTAAACCTATTTGTATGGTTCCTATTCAACTGTCTACAGCATTCATATGCT